TGTCCACAAACAATTAAAGAGGCAACAGGTTTTATGAAGCTAAGGTTTAAGAACTGCTAAACACCTTTAACAGAAAAGACTATAGAGTGATGAAATATGATGAAGTCTCCACCTCTAGAACAATAAGCAGCATTCAGTGGAAACACTGGGCAGCGCAGGAAGTGTCTGCCAGCACCACTAGCACTTTTACCCCTGGCATAGCTATATATCACTTTATTGCAGCAGCACAGCCACCATGCCTACCTGCTACTTGTTTCTTACCTGCAGTATTTCCCCACATTGAAGGCTCCAACCCGAGGTCCTTGCTGCGTGCTCCACACTTCCAGAATGCCTCTTCTTGGAGCATAGATCACAAGGAACTGAGCTACCCTGCTTGGACCCTGTGCATTCCCAAAAGGAGAAGAATCCATCTTCTCAGTTTCCCTCTCCTGAAGGTCCTCTACAGTCTGTATCCAACCAACTTCTGCATCACGGTATCCTTTGTAAATAGAAGACAGAAGGTCACTAGTGTGCAGAAATTAATACAGAATTAGCACATCAAGCTGTAATCTTAAGCTTTGTTTCAAATTGTGCAACTCCTGACTCCTGTAAAGAACTCCAGTCCATTGACTTGGAACAGGGCCCACCAAAGAGTGGCCAAACGCAGCCTTCGGCAAAGCTTTGTGGAGGAACAAATTCTTCTTCAGAAGATATAAAAACACCCCAAAACTCATCAGGTCAGTACTCTGGACATTACATCAATGCAAGAAATTGAGGCTGCCCTTGTTGCACAGCCATCATGATGAAATGAGAATCTAATAATCTGTATGTCTTAGTGATTTTTCAAAGTTTATCTTCTCAGCAGAATTTAAGATGGTACTAGAACTTTTTAAGAGAAAGAACCTTGAGGAATAGTGCTAAAGCTCTTCCAAAATAAAATACAAAGCAAACAGATCAAATTTTAACTGTAGGCCATATAAGTATTCCAGGGATTTACAAAAATACCCTTATGGACTTAATATTACACCTGACTTTGGTTTGTACTGAAGCAATGTACTAGAATTCTTGGAATTCTAAGACTGAATATAAGATTCCCCAGTGTTTTGTAGAATATTATTTGCTACACTAATACCACTATCATACCTTTCCACATGCGAACTGCAAGTCCTCTTGTAACATCCAGCAAAATAACCCTTCCAAATTCATCTGTTACTGCTGCCAAAGTGTTACATGGAGAAAGACATATCCTTTCACCATGGCGCCGGGAGTCGGGAAGTCCAAATCTGAAAGAATAATAATGAAGCAAAGCCACTAGACACATCCTTTTCTTCAGAAATAGTTAGCTTTTCTTCTAAGGATTAAGACTTCTTTTTTTGAGGTAACAGAAGGTATGGGAAAAATTAAGAGCAAATAATAAAAAAAGTTCTTGTTCTGCCTACCAAGATATTTCATAGCTCTGCCTAAGTCTTACTGAAAAAGCAAAGTTCAGAAAGCAGGATAAATGACTGCACTGTCATGCACTGTCAGGCAATGACTGTACAGTAACTATAAACCCATGCACTGGAAGGGAAAGATGAATAATTATTTATCCAGAATGATAATCTGAAATGCAAAAAAGCTTAAAACAAATGACCTGCAAACTACCATCACTGCTTACAGCCACATGTTCAATTATACACCTTTCAAGATAATTTAAATAATTAAAAACACAAGACATCCAAAGCACTGACAGTGGAAAAAAAAAAAACCAACTTACCTCACTGCCAATGGGGTTGCAGGTTCCACTTTTGGTTTCTGTTTTTGGACAGGTTCTTCTTCATGTTTACTCTTCCAACCAAGCCAGCCGCTTGCAACAGAAGAACATAACAAGAATTACACTAATGGTCCTAAAAATATTCAAAATATTATGCAGCTAAAACTAAAAAAAAAAAAAAACCCTATGAAATTTAAAAAAAATTTATTACCTGGCAGCATTAAATAATGCTGAAGTCAGTTTGCTTGCAACTGCTAAGGCAACATGAGACAACAGTGGCTGTGAGCTACCCTGGAATACAGGAATAAAGTGTTTAGAAAGACAAGAAATAATCAGGTCTGAACCACCCTGAAATGAAGCAACAAAATCTCTAGAAAGCCAAGATATAGTTCTTAAACTGAACCCAACTGCAGAATAGTCATTCAGGCCTCCTATGGAGTTCCACTCAGAAAGCATAGCTTCAAGACTGCAAAATTTTAATTCATTGCCCCCAGAAAAGCCATTCTGACATCTCCTTACAATTTCAAAATCCTCCTGCAAGTCACTGATAGCTCAGTATGTTTGTCTGCAACAGAAGTTTAAAATACCCTGTGTATCATCTATCATAGAGTGCTGGCTGGGGTATGGCTTTGACATCCTTACAAATATCAACATAAGCAGGTTTTCACAAACCTGTTGGAAAGCAAAAACCAAAATTCCAATTCTAGAATTTTCAATTAACTTTC